CACAGAAAGGCCCCAGGAAGCCCTTTGCTGTTCAAGTTTGCTTACAAATCACTTTGGCAGCCTGACAGGCAGCCGGTTCATTTGCTGTCGCACAAGAAATCACACTTACTTCTTTGGATGTAAGTTTCTTGCAAGGCTCCTCCTCCTCCTCCTCCTCTTCTGCTTTCCTTTTTCTTTTCTTCTCTGTGCTGCCTGCAAGCAGAGATCACAAACTCAGGCATCTTCCAAAACACCCATCTGTGTGCAGAACTTAAGCCTGGGGTCACCACCCTGTGTGCCCCAGCAAGGCATTCCTCTGGTCGTGATTTAACGCCTTCTACCGAAACAACACGCGCGTTCCCTACCAGAGGGTCACTCGCTCTTACTGCGGAAGCTGCTCTGGAGAAGCAGATGGCTTAAAGCCCTGCGCAAGTCCAGGGGAATTCCACAGCCTCGTCACAAGAGGGTTCTCCCACGATTCTGCCTTTAATCAAACTTACTATGGAAACTGAAGCCACAGACTCTTGAAGTCACCACAGTAAAACCTATAGCCTGAAGTACCTCTGGGCTTTTATAATGTGCTAAATCCTTCCACTCCCTCTGTGTCACATTACACCATGTGCAACAGAAGCTGCTCGGGCTGCGACGTGCCCACAGCACCACTCCTCTGGAAACACACTTGTCTCCACTCTGCCCTCATTCCCTAGTAGAGGGACACATCTTACCCACACACAGGTGTTCTACACAAGGGCTTTTGGGGAAAAAACTTGCCATCAGGAGCTAACAAATGCTTCTTCCCCTAATCCTCTCCCTTCTCTGGCTTAAAGGACTTCCAAATGCACCATCTTGTTTTACCTCTGTCTTCAGTTTCTTTGGCTTCCTCACACTTCTGCATGGATTTTGCAAACACTTTTTCACTCAGCTGCTTAGGGATTCTAAAAAAGATAAAACAAGCAATAAAATAACGTTGTGACACAAAATGTAACCGTCTCTGAGAAGACACTGGTCTCCAGTAGGTCCCAGTAGCCTGTCAGCAGCAAAGCCACAGCCTTTGTACCTACAAAACACGTTACAGTAACCTTGTCTCTGGAGTTACTGGGTTTGTGCGCTGCACAAAGGAGCAAAATATAATGCGTAACCTTGAAATCTTAGTGGTGAAAGCTGGTGGGTGAGCTTTGCTAAAACGGGGCCTGCTGGATGAGCCGGGATAGCCCTGCACACACACGGAGAGCCAGGGGGCAGAGCCAGGCAGGACGTCAGCCGTGGTCCTGCCCAGGGAAGGACCCAGCACCAAGGGGAGATCCGAGCGTGCGATATTGCTACCTGGGATACCAACAGATTCCTAATCCACAGCTTAAGAGGCAGCTTTCTGAAAGTGAGAACATTGTTAGCTCTGCCAGTAAACAGGACTTCTTGCAATAATCTTTCAAGAACAAAGTGCTGCAGCTTAGCCAAAGTTCAAATACTTATGGCGAAACTAGATAAGCTGTGGCAAGAGAACTGGCCAAGTCATCAGTGGAGTGAAACTACAGCACAATCCCATTAGCCCTATTCCCCCCCACAAAATACTTGAATCACTGAACACATACCTTATTGCTGAGAATCTCTTGGCTTTGGCTTTATCCAGAAATTTTTTGTATTTTGCAATCTTCTCCTCCAAAGCCTGGAGAACTGCCTTAGAGCTCTCCCTGGCACCTGGCACGGCTGGCTGCGATCCCTCCTCTACTGAATCTTGATGTTGCTCGTTTTCCTCTTTTACCTCCTCTTGCTCTTCCTCTCCAGAAAAATCACTGTCTGTCTCATCAAAGCCTGGCACATCTACAGGAACCAGGTCTTCTTCTGAGAACTGAGGTGCCACATTAATCCTCCCAAAGTTCTGCCGAACACGTGACATGAGTTGCTTAATTTCAGTGTCTGTCTGGCTCTTCTCTTCCACTGGCTCCACACTTGATGCTACCGACTCAGAAGTTTTCTCTTCGTTATTTTCTTGGTTTGGTGTCACAGCTGCTTCCAACGCAGGCGCCTGCAAGGAGCAGTGCAACGGATACATCATCCACAAAGTCTGTCCCACCATCTCAGAGAGCAATTTCTATTTCATCTCTTTGGAAAAAGCCTAAGGTACAGGCTAAAGATGTGATAACTACAGACACTTCCAGAAGTCAGATGATGGTAACATGGCTCAGACATCTCTGAAAAGAGCACTGCTGTTTGGTTCTCACCAAATTCAAGTGGCACCTGAATAACCAGACTTGGGCAGAGCCCAGAACGTGCACTGCCCAAGCTACATGGCACTCTAGGGAAAATGACAGGGAATACCATGAAGAAAACCGATTAACATGCGAGCAGCTCACCTGGGGAGCTGGTTCTGCATTCGGCGGCTTCACAAAGAATGGGATTCTGCCTCTCTGCCAGTCGTTGAGAACCATCTTGCTCACGTTTTGAATGTCGGGCTCACCTCCCTGAAAGAACCCAGTAACAATTTACACCCCTGTTTGCAGGGCGTGTCACCCTCCTGTTACCTGTAAGCAACAAACATTTGCGTTTCCCATGTTC